AATCCCACAACTAAAAGCAGCCAACCAATAGCATGTTGTTAATCAATAATTCTGGAATAACCTTGAAAACCATCAATACTAAGAAAAACCATATTAAATACTAAGAAAAAACCATCAAAATTTGTTCAGTCTACATGTATGCCAGGAAGAGTTTAAGCTGTTTTAAAATCAAAAGGAGGTCACACAAATATCAATATAATATTCACTTGGCTAATATAGTATAATCAATTCCAACAGTAGTGTATATCCTTATTTGTTGCACATATAGTAGTGTGTTGTGTCAAAATGTATTGTATATCAATATAAAAAGGCAAGATCATATTGACTGGACTCAGACTTTTGACCAGTGGCATATAAGGTGGCTTTTCAAGGTGACTTTTCCAGCTTACTTAACTCCGAGGAGAAATGTCTGGGAAAATAATTTTCAGAATTGTCCAAGATTTCACTCCCAAAATGCTTGAAATCGCATTTCAGGGGATCTAGATTATAAAATTTTCTTGGGGTGCATGCCCCCGAAAGACGGTCTCATGCCTTGCATGAGTTTGCCCCCCCCTCTCCAAAATGAAGGTCTGCGTAGTACGCCACTGCTTTTGACCCCCACTGTATAACGATGAACTATACTTGTAATGTGCAAGCCAGGAGAATCAAATGCGAAGTCCTTTGTCGTTATATTTTCTCCTTTTATAGCAATCCTTTTATTTGACAAATCAACTTCCATATCATCCTCCAAAATTATCAATCACAAAGATCAACCCATCTTCTCCAAGTAAAACAACATGATCTAGCAGCATGCGTTCGCAAAGCACGTTGGGCTGTGACAATGACAACATTTCTAAGGGGCGGGATTACAGTTGGCGCGCAATAGATAGAAGCCGTTTAATGCGTGCCATGCACTTCGTTGCCATTGTTGTTTTGGCTAAATAAAGTTGTCGATAACTATGTCCATAGTGAAAGTTAATTATTTACGACTATTATGCTGCAAAGAGAGCAACGCTCGTTTTTATGATAGAAGAAAATCTAATGAGTTTCTCTTACGATGGATTCGAAACATGCACGTCTTACAACCGAAGTTGACGACACGGAAGTTGATTTCTCGTCGTCTTACTTCAACTTTCAAATTAAAGAATTGTTAGAGAAGTAGAAAAATATCACGATAAAGGCCTTCGCATTTGCTTCTCCTGACTTGCACATTTCAAATATAGTTCATCGCTACATCAACAAAATCTAAAATTTGATTTCGTCTACAATATTACATCTCTGTTTGGAGAAATGGGATTTCCGTTTTGAAAACAACGGCCTTTCTTGTTTATCCGCCACATTTCTCTAAATCCAACTGTAATCCCGCCCCTTTGGCTCTAGAATTTACGGTCAAACGGAGTCCGCTGTGAAATATGAAATGGTTCTCTGACTGCATGCATGCATGTAAATATTTATTTTCACAAGTTTTGGCTATATGACTTGATGCCTTCGACGAGTAAATATTGTAGAAATATTTACAGTCAGAGAGGTTTCGTGTGACGTTTCATCCCTATAAGTTATTATATTGCATATACTGTATATTGATTTTGTATTTTAATCTTGATATTTATTTGTTAATAAATTATTGTTTTTCAAGCACGTTTTGAATGGTTTAATGGCGAAATGGAATGCAATTTTGATCATTTTAACCAGTTTAAATGTTTAACCAGTTTAAATGTTTAACCAATTTTAATTTGGTCATTTGAAATTGGTTAAAATGACCAAAAAAAATTGGTCGTTTGAATGCGTCTGAGACAACCAGTTTAAATTGGTCTTTTTAACCAAATAATTAATTGGTCAAATTGACCATTTATTTATTGGTCAAAACAACCAATTATTTCCGGTTGTTTTGACCAATTAAATAATTGGTCAATTTGACCAATTAAATAATTGGTCAATTTGACCAATTACTTTTTTGGTTAAAACGACCAATTTAAACTGGTTGTCTCAGACGCATTCAAACGACCAATTTTTTTTGGTCATTTTAACCAATTTGTTTTTACTGTGTAGTATAACGTATAACATTATAAAATGGTTATACTAAGTGTAACGCTTAGGTTAAATGAAACTCGATTTCGGATTCAACTTTTTATTCTTTGCTTCTCCGATCAGTGACACTGATCTGTATTCTCACGACAAACTACGAGTATGATGCAAATATTAGTTCGTTTTTCCGATTATGTTACGACGACTGCGTCCAAGCGGACGCAGTTTTTAACTAGAGGCCGGACGCGGGCGCTTTGGAGGCAGGACGCAGGCAGAGTGGACGCAAGACGCGGGCGCTCTGGAGGCAGGACGCGGGCAGACGCGGGGACAAGTTATTTCTTGGCAGTACTGTAAGTCCCAAATTTCAATTATCAATTTCCGCTTTATAGCTTTCAATCTATACCTGTTTTGCTCTGTGAATTAATTTATCTATTTTGTCTTGTGTAGTGCACTTCCTTCGTGAATGGGAAATGACGTGCAAAGTCCTTGCGACAAGAGCAAGCTTGGATCGTCATACCGCGGTGAATTTAGATGCTGAGGTGAACAACACGATGAAAGAATTTGGCCTTGAACATCGTGTGTTTGCCTGCATTCACGACAATGCTGCGAATGTTAATCTTGCCGGCCAGATGATTAATGGCACAAAAGACAGACCGATAGCCTTCTATATCGGCTGTGCGGCACATAGTCTGAATTTGTCGATTGGAGATGCGATGAAAAAGGGGGTTGACCAGCCTTTTGAAAACATGGTTGCTGCTGCCAGGAGGCTAGTGGGGCATTTTAAAATGTCCAGTCTGGCAACAAATGGTCTTCGCACTAAAGGGAAAGAGATGCTGTCGTCTGAACATCATGGCAAAGGATTGATTCAGGATGTGTCTACCAGATGGAACTCCACATTTTACATGTTGGAGCGTCTGTCGCTGTTGCGTTGGCCAGTCGTTGCGGTGTTGTCTGATCAATCTCTGACCAAACCACAAGAAGCAAGGGTCCTAGATATGCCAGTCAAATCTTGGAAACTTGCCGAGGAAATAATTCCAGTTCTTAGGAAGGTGGAGCTGGCTACTGTTCTTTTTAGCTCGCAGTCTAAAACAACATCTGGAGTTGTCCTGCCTGCTATTAACGGTTTGGTTGAACAATTGAAAGCCATGACCTTTGAGTGTGCGGTAACTGATGGCCGACGGCGAGCAACCACTCCACCAGGGCAGAATTTTAGGGATACCCTCGTCCAGTCGTTGACTGAAAGATTCTTTCTCGACCAATTGGATGTCACCTACGAGGAAACAAACACTTGCGAACCGGTTCCATTTTATCTGTTGGCTTCATTCATGGATCCCAGATTCCGTGACCTGTCATTTGTGAGCGAACACGAGAGGCATGCGTTAGTGAAGTTTGCGTCAAAGACCGTGAAAGCCATGCCATCATTGCCTACAAGCAGCGGCGCTGCTAGCAGTATATCCGAACCAGAGGTTTTTCCACCGCCAAAGAAGAAATCCAAGTCAGAGGTAGCCATGGAAGAGTTGCTTCGTAAAGGAAAATCGTCAAACAACTTTGAGGAATCTACACGCGAAGAAGAATCTCAAGCGGAAAAGAATCGAAAGATTGATAAAGAGGTACAGCAACTGAGCAACGAGGCACCAATTGGTTTGACGGAAGATCCGTTAATGTGGTGGAAAGAAAACGAAAAGCGATACCCTTTCATACGGAACCTTGCCGCTAGAGTATTAGCGGCTCCGCCGACGTCCGTGCCAAGCGAAGAGATTTTCAGCAAGGCTGGACTGGTCGTCTCAAAGAAACGTGCCTCGCTTAAGCCAGCTGTTGTCGACGCAATTCTATTTTTAAACAAAAACGATATGTAGACATCGCGTTTTAATGCACTGTGTTATATAATTGTATTTATATT